AAACTGCCTCGAGATTGGAGGTGAGGGGAATATTAATCGTGCCCACGTCTCTCTCTCTCTCTCTAGTGCCCCCTCAATTCGCCCCTCCGCTCTCCCCATCCTCTTTCTCGGCCCATCTCTCTCCGTCGTTCGCTTTCATGCTTTCAAGTCGAAATTCTCTTACCTTTCACCAATTCCCCCCCCCCCTATTTTTTCCAACTCACATTTCCACCACAGCCCCTGCTGTATTCGTCCCATTTTCTAGTCGCTCCTTCAACATTTTATATTCCACGTTTACTCCATGGCATGTTATATCGTTGTAGCTCTGAAAGAGTGGAGACTCGTGCGGAAAAGAAGAGGTGGGAGGCTTCGCGGGCATGGCTGTCACTCCCAAGATATATTCAGGATTAAATTAAGCATGAATGACAGTCCTCTTTTATTGTGTTTGGCTTCTTCCACTTTGCCGACTCGCTGCGCGCGCACCTGGGCGTTAGCTTTTGCCGCCGCTGTTTGGCTCAAGTCGTAAAATTTCGCCGAGCACTACTCTCTCTCTTTCCTGTTTCCTCCTGTTACTCCCGCGTCCCCCTCTCCATCCATTGCAGGCTTGCAGGCACGGGGAAAAAAAGGAAGGGAGAGGGAAAGGAGACCCTCACTCCTCTTTAGGGCCTTAAACAAACCGCCTGGTAGGCAGGCAATTTGTGCTCCAATACGACTGTAATGATGCAAAGCAAAAACCAGTGTCCCCCTGCCTCCCTTATTTACTGTGGATTTATTCAGCTCGTCAACGTCCACCGCGTCCGTCCGCCCAACTGCGCGTTTGAAGTTTGAGTTTTACTTTGCCAGGGATAAAGTACACGACGCACAAGCCGCTTACCTGGTAAATCTCGATAGGCTGGGTGCAGACATTATCAGAGTACAGAGAACAGAAGCCTGCTATGGAGTCTGCTCCACTTCCGTAACCAAGTACAATGGTCCTACCTCGGGTCCTACCTTGACTGTCTGCACCTTTCCTGTACTTGGGGACAGGATTTTCGCCAGCTTCGTTTGGACGCGAAGTTTTCCCCATCGCTGCCAATAAGCTGTGGCCTACTGCAAATAACGCCCATTATTCATAAAAACTCTGAGGGCGAGGTCCCCTAATGGGCCGAAAGTGATGCGGGAGGGGAGGGGAGGAGGAAAGTTGCAGCAACTCGCCATCCTCGCTCGCGCGCTCTGAATTCGCTTTCAAAAGGGGATTCGCTCAGCCCAAGTCAGGAAGCGGAAGGCCCCATTAAAGGACTCGAGGAGGGAGAGAGGGGGTGGGGGGTGGGTGCTCGAATCAGCCATGAAAAGGACCGGGAGCGTCGCAAACGGAGCTCACGCCGTCAGCCGTCAGATGTTTCGCACACTTTTGTTCGAGTGTAGAGGTGAACTTTGGGGCAGTAAAAATTTCCGAAATGCGCGACAACAGCCAGTTAGTCGACTAAACTCGCCACTCCAGCTGTCGCACCCGCTCGGTCTGTCGTGCAACAATCACGCTTTCCCCCAGTATATTGCGCTTCTCAGTCGGTCAGCCGTCGCGAGCGTTTTGCTTTGGACACACACCCTCGACGGCCAGCCCGCGTGTACGATCACCTGTGTGGCGCTGACCCCTCGCCGACCGGAAGAGCACCGGAAGTGGACAGGAAATTGGATCCGTGATTAAAGGAAGTGTGATTGTGCTCCCCTTCCCCCCTGATGCGACCTGCCCGCCTTGTGCCAGAGCTGTCGTAGTAGTTGTAGTTGTGGCGAGTTCGAGACGAGTATCAGTCGGACGCCATCATATTTGTGGTGGTGGGGTTGAGCGGCGCTGTGCGGGGGTTGATCCCACCGGATCCCGGGCACTAAGAGGTCCTGATCCCCGTCGCCTTGATGACGATTGGTGCACACACGTACCGCACGGCAAGGCCATAAACATAACCCCGACGCCCCACCACCTCCCCGGCCCCGGCCGGGATTACCATCACCAGGCTGATGGAGACTAATGGAACAGCGAATCAGCCTGGCGCGCACGCCGTACGGCGGGGACCGGCGGGGACCCCCCACTCCAACGGAGATGGATGGACTTCGGTAAATGATAAATAATAAACCGATTCTTCCGGTTCTGCCGTACAGCTGTTCGCTATGTAGTCCTTTTTATTTTGTATTTTTTTCCCAATCCATTCTCAAAAATGTTTATTTTTGTTTTGTTATGTGCAAAACGTTGCACACTTGACAGTGATGGTGGGAGTGCAAAAAAGAACATCGACAACGTCGACGAAAACCCTCGCGAACGACCCGGACGCCTGGCGCAATGGCCCTCTATACCCTACTGCCTTCTCCATACCGAGCACCGACCCCACACACGCATTAACCCACACCACACACGGACACACCGCAACATACACTCGACGAAAAAGCACTCACACTCACACGCGTACCCGCACGCATGCGCCACACATCCTGTTACGCAACGAGTGCCGAAAAAACGTGTTTTGTTGCTCCAGTTGTTGTTTTTTTTAGTCTTTCTACGGGGTGGAAAAACCGTAGCGGACCTGCGAGAGCCGAGTCACGCGGTCCTAAAGGGGCGGACCGTTCTGTTTACATGAAGTTTTCATTCAACTTTCCACGTACTGATCCAGCATAGGGTCCTTTTTATGTCGTTTAAGTTCAGGTTGTAGTCGTTTTTGACGTGTGTGGAAGTCCGACTCGTTTTGAGTATATACAGGGACAGATTGGACGCGTATCTTTTACATGCCTGGCAACGCGACGTGCGTGGTTTTACTTCCACTGTTTGAGTTCAACGCTATAGACCACGCGAGGGTGTTGAACGTGTTTTATTTTATTCTCTGCCATTTCAAAGAATGCTTTTGTCTGCAGGACGCGCTGCTCCGGCGTCTCGGGCCCAACGCGCACCCCTTCTGCATGGAGATGACCCCCCTGGCGCCGCCCTCCGTGCAGCTCGTCCCCGCCAAGGAGTACACCGGGGCGCCTATCGGCACCAGCTACGACGTGCGCGCCTACGTCGGTAAGTGGCACATGATACATCGTTTTAAAAAAAGTGACACAACAAAATTGTGTACACTTCACGAGAAAACTATTTCCATGAAAAATGTAGATGCCGATAGTAAGACTACAAATTTACAATTTTGTAAATCGCACATTACAAAGAATACTGTACATTTTTCACAGTGGCCAGTGGTTAATTTATTTATAAGTTAGAGATTAATTAATCTCCAGCTGTGATACGGGGACGTTCATCGGGGAGGGGGGAGGAGAAAGCGGAAGGTCATCAGGCAGCCCATAAGGGTGGCGTGGCAGGCGGGGCACAAGGGGCAGCGGAAGAGAGAGGGAAGAGCGTGGAGGAGACAGAGAGAGAGGGGGGGGGGAGATGAATAAGGACCAGAGGGAAGCAGGAGGAGGACGTCCAGGGCGCGGCGCGCTAGAGTATTGTCATGTCAGCCCCGCTCTGAATAATAAACCAAACGTAAACAAGCCCACAATACGTCACCGGGGGGGAACTGCCGGCCGGTCGGCTCGGTAGAGAAGGGGGAGGTGGGGTCTGGAGCCACGGTGTAGAGAGATATCTCTCTGCATCATGCTATGAGAGCATAGAGGGGAACCACATGGCAGTATGCGACGACGAGCAGTCCAAGCAAGCGGCTCCAAGATAGAGAAAACCCCTCTCTCCATTATGTGCGGCACCCAGCTCGCCCGCAATCTTTCCTCCGGCACTTTTGAAACGTCTGAAACGTGTCCATGCGATTTATATAAAGCTTTTTCGCCAAAAGCCCATGAGAATAGGGGCACTGCGAGGTGATGAGCAGTGACGGCGACGATCGGCGGCGCCAGGCCGCGGCCTGCGGGCGACACGTCACGCGCTACAGAGGAACCAGAGGAACAGCGGGCTACACGACCGCTGGCACACTATGAGAAACATTTCTGTTAATTTAAAATGGTACTTTTTGTATAGTAATTAGTAGTTTGCAAACGATTTTGTTATTTTGCGTCAGCCTATTCTTCCTTTCGTCGAAGAATATAACAAGTCAATGACCATACGTACTGTAAATTTAGAATTGGTGGAATCGTAATACGTACTACATATTTCATGGATTTTTTCGGTAGAAACTCGAAACTACAAACATCTTTCACAGTGGTATTTAAGAAGAGAGTGAAGGTGAAGGGGAGTAAGGGAGGGAGTGAGGGCGAGCGAGAGAGCGAGAAAACGCAGAACGCAAGTGGAAGAGCGGGGGGTGGGGGGTGGAGGAGGTGG